ATGGGTCCAACTAACTCAGCCTCACAATCCAATCCTCTTCGGGGGTTGGGGAAAGATGGATGGCCATATTAAAACCTAGCAATGAAAGACAACAGGTATATGGATTATAAGCTCACAGCTCTATTGGCGTGGAGCACGAGCGTCACGCATTGTCTCTGACGGTGGGAGGGCTTCTTCCGTTGCTTAATGATTTGCTATCGCCCACCTAGCTAGGTAGCTCTAGGTCAAATTGGCGCAAACCAGCGAACTCCAACCTGCGGTTAGCCGTGGTCGCAGGTGTGTAACAATACGGTCGTAAAACAGATGTGCATTGTTCTAGATCTTCGAAGGCTGAGTGACAGGCCTCAAACAGATTCCAATGGGTCTCTCAGTCACACTCCAGAGCTGGACTTCCTACCCACTGCCTTTTCGGTCAAGCTATTTAGCCAAAGGCTTCCAGTGGAGTCCCCCAAGCGATCCACCATGTACCGCACTGCTTTGTGGGTCACAATGTTGACTCGAAGGATAGAGCACTTCGAACAGAAGCTTTCACTCGAAATGGGCAACCGGAGTATCATCCGCCCCCTCGACCACGTTGACAACAATGTTCCTTCTTCTGGTTCTCTCTTTGTCCCCGTCTACTGAGGAAGAGGCTGTCACCGACCTCGCAGCCACTGCCATCGATGCATTAAGCTCTTCCATCAATCCTGGAGTTTCAGTTCACATTGGTTCCTTTAACGACCACAATAGTTCACATGGGCCAGCAGGTAGCACTGACTCTCAGTCTTCACTCTCTTAGTAATGTGTGCTATCTCTAAAACACGCGTACAACAGTGTCGTGAAGAATCTTCGCCTCCCTGGTTCTGAATCCGATGATAACGACTACATTCTTCGCGTCTATGGCGATACCGAGTCAATGGCCCAAGATATTTACGGTGTTGGTATTACACTCAGCAAACATGCTGAAGGCAATCTGCTCGACTGGATACCGGTGAACAGCCGCATGTGTGCGGTCCAACTTCGAACCGCTACTGGAATTATTAGGCAGCATCTGAAAACAAGGTCTTTTCACCGCCTCAGTTTATGCCCCCTACTGAATGCAGTTCAGAAGGTATCAAAGATCATTTCTATCGACAACACTCATCTCTTCTGCACATGGCGAAAATAACTCACATCGTGGTTGTTGCTGGTGTCATGAATGCCCAAGTGGGTCGCCTTTCAGACTCAGAAGAACACCTCGGCGACCGCTTTGGTGTCGATGCACGCCGAACGGACAATGGGGATCGAATCGTGCAACTGTGCACCGAAAACAACCTTTACCTTAGCAGGACTGCTTTCCAGCACAAACGTTCACACTGCGTCACCTTGCGACCATCGAATCCCCCAATGACCCGCACCATATTGTCATCTGCAACAGGTAGCGCACATCAGTCCAAGACTGTCGGTTAGTTTGGAGCACGTGCCTGGATTCCGAGCATGCTTTAGTGTGCGCACGCTTCTTGTTTCAAAGAAATGCCCATCTTCTAACTTCCTTATCTGTAACTTGAACTCGTAACGTGCAATTCGACAATATCACGACAAACTGGCGCTCTAATTGTAAGTGATGAATGAGGTTGGCAAATCCAACACTGACTGGGATCGTATCAAACGTGTCATGAAGAATACCTTGGACGCATGATGTGCATGCAACTTGAAGAGTTGTAACTGAATGGATCTCTGGGGCATCGATCAGCTTGATCGGTGCACGGTAACAAGTTCCAGTGGGCACTGAGTTTAAGCGTGTCCGTAACTCCCTGAAACCACGCATCACAAGGAGTATTTGAATCGACCGGGAACGTTGGTGGATAACAAGGACTCTTGAAATGGGGAAAGCCAATACCATTCCAACTCATCTGGGACAGAAGTCTAAGGAAGAAATCTGTTAGACAAAAGCTGAGAAAGACGGGCAGCTGATCCATTCTTAACATCGTCGACTAGCCCGTTCAGAAGAACATTCTGAAGAGCAGTTCAGCAGGCCTGCTGCGACATTGCCGCTTACCGAATCGCCTGAACCGTCATGGGAAGTAAATGACACCAATCCTGCCTAGGAAGAGACCCGATATGGACTTTCCGCGTTTAAAAGAAACAAGGCTCCCGTACCCGATGACCTTCTTTCATTTGTGCTGAAACATAGTGGTGAGCATCTGTTGACTGGACTCGCTACTCTGTTAAGCACGATTTGGGACACTAAAGAAGTGTCTTAAGAATGGCAACTATCAACTGTCGTGCCAATCTTCAAGAAGAGCCAGCGTACTTTGTGCGAAAATCAACGCATTAGCCTTGTTTCCATTGGATCCAAACTCCGCGTGGGTATCATTCTCTGACGAATTACTGGTCCCCGTGAGAACCGATTCACCGAAATCCAGGCTGGCTTCCGCCCCGGCCATGGTTGTATGGACCATCTATTTAGTCTTCGCCGTGTCAAACACACAGATAATCGATTGTGGTCGTATTCCTTGATTTGAAAGCTGCCTCTGTTGACCACACCTGATTGTGGTACCACCTATAGATGAAGGGCATGTCAGCTAAACTCCTTTCCATTATGAAGTCTCACTACCGAAATTCCCGAGGTCGCGTAAGAGTGTACAGAAAACTCCCTCTTGAGTCCCCCACGACAAGTGGGGTACGCCAGGGCTGTCCTATCTCCTTCCCTCTTCAACTTTGTCATCGAAATAATCACGAATGACTCGGTTCTTACAGACTCTACCTGCGTGTAAGTTCTGCCAGGTGACCGACAGAGAAATTGGGAGCATGCGGACGACATAGATCATCTTGGATCCGACGCAGTGGTTATGCAAACACTACTGGCTAGACTGATGCGTAGCGACACACGCTTAGATATGTAGTTTGTTCCTTCCAAGTGTATAGTACTGCTATAGGACTAGATCGACACACCCGGTTCTAGTTATCAACGAACAGCCAGTGCAAGCTGTGGGTCGGTTCACTTACCTCGGCAGTTGTGTCACCTCTGGTGGTCACATCACTGGACGTTACTTCGCGTTTCAGTAAGGCCAGTGTGGCTTTCCAGAGGCTCACCCATCTATGCAAACGACGGAACATCAGGTTGTCAGTGAAAGACAGGGTGCATAACGCCGCGATAAGGCCTGTGTAACTGTATGCATCAGACCTGGCAAGTTCGTGGTGGAGATATTAAACGCTTGGCTGTTTGACCATTGGTGGCTAGGCCATGTCCTTTGTATGCCCGTTGACCGGCTTCCTCAGCGTATTATACGCCGTGGCTGCAACAAAATGGGTGAAACCGCGAGGTGGCCAATTCATGACGTGGCATGAAGAAACTGACTGAAAGATTCGGTCGGGCTAGTGTGTGCCGTCTTCGTGGATAGGGTCCTCGGGATGCTCCACACCAACAGTTAGAGACCGCATCAGACATGGTGCAGTTACACACTCAGTGGCGTTCCTTCATCTGGTTGTTACTTTTCGTTACATTCTGACTAGTTTAAAGCATTTGTTTCATTTCGTTTAAATTCTCTATGCCTTTAACCTACTAGCTTGAGTTGTGACAAATGAATCCAACGCAATGCAGTGCGCAGATTATAAGTGATCAACTGTAGTGAACTGAACAGGACTCTATGTCGTATGCCTATTAGGGTTGTGCTGAGTGTGAATGACAATTTGGAACATTTATCGCCAGAGTAAACCAAGTAAGGAAGACCGAGGGTAGCATTGCGTCATACATGGCCAGGCACTCCTAAAGCACAATTCAGATCGAACCGCTCAGGTCAATCGACTGAAACCGCATCCCGTTGTAAAACAGTAAGATGGATGCATGGAGGATTTGCCGCTTCTATCGATTACTGTGGTTGCTCATTTGATGCAACAGTATGAGTATTGCACTCTGCGAAACCAAAATAATCATGATGGATACGCCAAACAAACCGGTGGGTGGATCTGATTCCCACTGCAGATGCAGCTTACAAGCATTGGTTGCATGCAATAGATTTCCGCAGTATTTAAAAACGAGGTTGTAGCGATCTGGTAACCTCCATTTACAATTGTCGTATGTGTAAAAGATTGTAAAATTATAGTTTCATTTGGTACCCAGAAAAAGAAAGCAATTTTCCCATAGCATATTGACTATATTTATTTTCATACAGACATCCGGAACACCACCGGAACGCTACCTTCGATGCTCCTGTAACCTTTCTTTTCTCTCTCCTAGTTAGACTGCATGTCTCGGCAACAAACGTACAGGCCAAATTCATTTGCTTCTTTGCTTCTCCAAACGGCTAATTGATTGTGCGAATATACCGCGCGAATATTGGTTGCGCTAGAGTATCAAATGCAAGCTCGGTGTGTTGAATTCCAATAAAAAGCCATTTCTGCTTAATACTCTTATGTTGAAAGTCTACATATTAAGAATTGATCATTGCCAAAAGTAAGGGTACCACATAACACATCCTAAGCAGCGTACAACTTCGTTACACCACCAAGGAGTGTTATCGGCGGCAGAATATTGAAACTCATAGCTCTCCAAGAAACCTCCCGCCAGTCGACTAGCAAAGCAAAAGTACAACTGACTATTCTCTCCCCGGTACCTACATAGGATGCCTTTGTAGCTTATCGGAGGTAGGTCAGGTTAGTTCGATGATCCAACTGAAATACAATGAAGCCCGATCGAAATGGAAGAATGCAGAAACGACAGAACATTCACTCACTGGGTAGAATGTTAAGAGCACCGAAATAAAGCCTAGATGTGTTGTTCTTTGACCCAAAGAGTCCACAACGCATGTGGAAGCAAGCGCGAGAAGCGTACTCCATCGTTCGCTATGTAGACAATGAAAGCCCCTCAGTTTTCACTAAATGGAACTCCAAAGAAGACGCAAATATCTACAAATATAATTATAATGACAATAAATTAAAGCTAGAATAGAGAACAACTCGTACCGAGCGATAAAGAACAGCCTCACAGCTGATAGTGGCAAGAAAGCACTTCGGTTTCTCGTGTAGAGACCCCCAGTGGAGTCAACAATGGCGCATCGCAAAACATGCGTCGATATATGATACATCAACTGAGTTTTCGAATTCGCTTAGGAGTTCGTGGGCATTGATACGCTCCGGGGCGCCAACCATCGCCTAAATAAGGAAGGGTGAGTGTAGACCGACTCAGGATGTACAGATAAAACACACACAAGGTGATAGCATAAGTTACTGCAGAGAAGGGCTCAAGAGTAGTACGATAGCCAGAATGAAATAAGACGCATGAAGTTTGTACTATGCCTTCCCGGGGGAAATCAAAATAATGATCAACCAAAGCGATGGACTAGAACTAAGTAATTTAACATATGTGGTTGTTGAACAGTGGCAGTTGTCCACTGCAACGAGGTGGGCACTAGGTGTCAACAATTAACAGTGTGCTCAAAAATGAATACCCTAACTTTCAGTAGGTGAAGTGGCAGATGCGGCGCCCAGAGATAGCAAAAAGCTATTGGTCCCTCGGGGCTCACCTGAACGAGTACTGTGATATTAACAGTTTCTGTAATGCGGCTTAACTAGTGGTGAAGGCTAATAGGCACGTGAACGAAGGGGACAGAGGTATCCTCTCAAATAAAAAAGCTCCCGACCACATGGTACTGTAGCAGGAATACAGAGAATCAAGCGCGGAGATGCTGTGGTCAAGTAATGCTTGTTGGGTCATAGGGGACCAGGAAGTGCATAGGCATAGACAACTAAATAATGAACCTCATAATGAGCGAGAGCACACTTCATACATCTGGCAACAAACTGAAGTGATCAGCTAACAACGTACCGCCTTGAATAAAGGCTCGGTGACCTGACTTAAACAAACCCCCCGAGACACGCACAAGTTGACATTAATGGCAGCAACCTACCTTCCTTTTGGCTCTATCTTCCCGTCTCCGAGTTTCGATCAATGAACGACGCTCCTCTTCAGCACGCCTGATTTCCTCTTCACGTTTGCGCTCAGCTTCGCGTGCCAACTCAGCCTCCTGACGGCGACGTTCGGCCTCTTCGCGTTCTTTGTTAGCTCGTTCTTCGGCCGCTCGTGAGCTCCATTCAGACTGACGACGAGCCTCTCGCATTATCTGTAAGGCAGCAGCCTGTTTTTCCTCGAATTCTTTCCCTAATTTCGTAGGATGATCCCGAGAAATACAATGCCCTCTATTGTCGCCCATTTCCCCTGAGGTGACCGTGGCAATTGGCTTCGGGTCGGATGCAACTGAAAATGTTTCCGATACCCTAACTGAAGAAACTGATACAGTGTTAAATTTTGTTGCAGACTGCAGTGGATCAGCTGCCTGGGAGTGCTTTTTAGAATACGCTGATGTGGCCCATACGGGTTGGGGTAACGCACATTCAGGAACGGAATCCGATTCCGTGTCAGAGGAGTCGTCACCTCGAGCAACAATGGCCTTATCATTAGTGGAATCAGCGCACGAAGACACAATTCGCGGGTTGTAAATGTTCCCTTCACCTAGCTGCTTGCTTTTTGATGAGATATCTTCTTCTGTTTTAGGAATGCCTGTCAAGTGGGCGAGTGAATCATCGGCGCGTAAAGATGAAGTTTTCGGATCGGAATGTGCGCCTGTAGTATCCGGGGTAACGACGGGTTCTAAAAATCACACGAAGAACAAAAATGAAGCTGTCTCATCATCTGACACTTGAAGCGCCGTAACCAACCCCATGTGCTAACATCAAGAAGACTTCACTTCGGTATCAATTGGTTTATAAAGTAAAAATTACATGCTAGTAACTGTACAAAATGCATTCCGTGATATCTTATAGTACACGAGTCCAGGAACAATTGTCCGGAAACCAAGTACAACTGTCTGTTGAAGAAAATAAGTAGTGTGCGCATCATAAACAGATAAGCGCATAGACAATGAAGGAAGTGATGTACACAGAGGTGAACGCAAGCCACTGTGGCCACAGTACCAAACCGGGACAGTAGTAGCGAAATCCCCTAAGCTACGATACTCAAAAAGTGAAGCGGCTTGATGTTAGCACACAGTGGCTGCGGTAAAGGAAGAATAGAGACCTACCATGGCTGGGCAAATGGGCGCCGAAAAAATGGAAACTTAGATAAAGGTAGGTACAAAAACAAACGTGATTTAGAAACAGTCTCGAAAGAAACAAGAAATGAAATAAAGGTGGTTAAATGACCGAAAATCATTTCGAAGACAAGTGGACCGTCATCACGACTCACTATCGGATTTTGAATCGGAAGAATCAGATTCACTGGAACCCGAGGTACTTTCGGATTCACTGGAACTTGACGAGGAGGCACTCAATCTATTTGATCCATCTAGACAAAAAGAGAGATTATGAAGAAGATTCACACTTACGCTGTTTCTTGGGAGGGTGAGCATTGTGGTACCCAGTGGCGTTCGATGGTAAGCCGCTAATCTCCCGCAACCGACTCTCTATCTCCTCCGTTTTCTCTTTCATGCATTCTTCACGGCTTTTTCCGGGAGTAGCCCCGCTTGTAGCCTTCTTCACGTACTTACGATTCCCAGATTTGGTTTTCTGCAGAACGGACTTCACATATTTCTCCAATTCCCGCAACGTAGTGTGTTGCAATGTTTCAAAATCAATTTCGATTTCATCTGGATTACAATCTCTATGGGAGGGTTCACGCTGCTGAATGATTTGGACAACCCGACCCAATTTCTCACCCGGGAGTTTATTTATATCCAAACTTAACTGGCGTTTCTCGTCGTAGGTCATCGGTCGAACATTATTCTCGGACATCTCTTCATCCGTTACGTAACCAGGTGCGACAGGCTGTGGATGCAGTACACTGGGGTTCGGGACGTTAGGAAGAGAAGCAGGAGTTGGGGGAGCTGAGGAAAGCAAAACAAGCAATATGAATGAATCAATGGTTGGTGTTTCCAACCAGACAAAGCCATCAAGGTGTTACAGATAAAGCCTACAGTGGCCAACGATTGGTCGAATAAGATGAAATGCAACAGACAACCCTAAGGATAAACAACAGTGCAAAATGAAAAATCAGAATGACTCTACCGTCAACAAATGCTGAAGCATAAATGCTAACAAAATGAATAATATTCAAATGCGTGATACAACGTTTGTGAACAGTGAGGTCATGAATATGTAAGAACGGCAATTTCTGGACTTACGCGGCTGACGGTACTTCGATTTCGACTGCGACTGCCGACTTTTCCTGGATGGGGTGGGCTCCTCGTATGAATCGCTGAACACGTGACGTGACGTCGTGGGTAGATTGGAAGGGATGGAATTAACCTGGGGAGTATGAAGAATGTTTGATGCTTCAGTTGTGGTTAGAAAAAAAACCAGTGCTCACCTTTCTTAGTTTGCGCATTCAATGAGCTCAATATAGAATTTAAATTTGCAGCACTTCGCTGCAATTCTTCGTTGCACCTCTGAAATTGGGCAGTCAGCCTCTGATGCTCTTTGATTGCGTTTTGTATCAGCAGATAAAAATTTTGATCGACAGGACGATCAGGGGACGGAGCTGTATCGGACTCGTCATCGGGTACTTTGGCAAAGCTCTCTTCAAAAATTGACTGAAGAAGTTTGCCGACTTTGGTGACATCGCTATCTTCTCCATTATACTTGTAACAGTTGTTGAACATGAGCCGTATATCATCCGCAAATTCATACTTGGAATGATACTGACCAGATTCCAACTTTGATCTCACGGTGCTGAGGTCCATTGCTTTCTTTATTACATCATGGTAGTCATGGAGACCCATGGCTTCGGCGTCGACTGGTTTCAGAAACAGATGATTTAAATCCTGAAAGTAATATGAGTTAAGATAATTCTCACCCTATAGCGTTGAGACGAAATTTCCCTCAGAATGTTGCTGCAAGCTTTCAAAGCTTCAGATAGTCGGAGACGTTTCCCGATATTACGCTCCTCATATTCACGTTTCGGCTTTTTGACTTGGCGACGATCACGAGAAGGGTCATCCACCGAAAGAGGAGTCTGGGGTAAGTCTTCATTGGCATCCATCTTTTTCTTCGAAGCCTTCTTTCCGGAGCTAGAAGTAGCTGATCGAACAGCAGGAGCGCCGGATTCAGAAAGCGACGTGCCATTCAAACTTTCTACATGGTTCACAGAGGGTTGCGAGGAAAGTTCTTGAGCCGGTGGAAGTTGTGGATGGGCCGGTTTTGCTGATTTTGAGGTTTTCTGAAGCAAAATCTCAGTTTCAGGAGAGGGCATGCATTGCAAGCGTTCTCTTGCTATCTGTTCTAATTTCATAGCCATCGCAACAACGTCGTCACCGGGTTTGTTAAATATGTAGCAATTCCGGAACATAGTGAACAAATCATCAATGCACTCAGAGGACGAACGATAGAACTTAAGATTAAGACGTTGCTTTATGGTACCGAGGTCCATGGGATGTTTTACAATCCTTGGATAATCCTGCATAGAAATAAATTCAAGCACAAAAAAACGCACCGGTAAATTGAGTCTCTCATGGTCGACAGGCCTGGTGAAAGGCCAAACGATCTTCTCCTTTAGAAGCCGACCAACAACGTCCTTCTTAATGTACTCTAGCTGATTTGTAGTAATCTTTGAAGGATGACTTTTTGAAGAATGGGGATCGGATTTGACTTGGTTTGAAAGGTCCAAGCTGAGCTCGGAACTCATGGCATAAACGAGCACCAAGAACAAGCTTAAAAGAATAGAAGCAGCGGTGAGTGTGAGCAACAGATAGAATCACGAAAATTGAGGTGGATGATCAGACAGGTCGAAAACGAGACAGAAGACAGGTTAATAAACGTTGAGGACTAGAGTGAAGCAAATGGCAAGAGAAGCATAGTGAAACTAGCATTCGTCTTGAAGGCATGAGGTAGAGATAGGCCCTTAAGAAACGAGGATAAACAGGCGATCAGTGGCCCGTGTCAATTTGAAGGGTGTCAAACCAGGTACAAAACAGAGAAGTGCAGCGTAAGATTTATAACATGGACATATAGAGAAATAAAGCAGTTAATAGTAGGCGATAGCATGAAAACCGCATGAACAGACTGAAAATCGGATTCATAGCAGCTAAATATCCGAATTGTCAACTAAGAGAAAGCGAAACTTCTCCATGTGTAGCTGACATGGGAAGCATGAGTAATATGTCTTAATGTCGAAACAAGACAAAGAAGGCTGAAGAACTGATGGAACTGTTCGAAAAGATGAGGTCCGTTGTGTGACTATGACGTGGAAGTTTTGGGTATAGCTGTTACGAGAGCGATAGTTAAGTGCGATAACCATAGCTGTAAAGAAGATAACCCATAGGATAGAAGGCGTAACTAGGAAGCACTATGGACCAGATGTAGCAGCTTCATATCAAAAGGAAATTTAAATCCGAATTAGCCTAATACAGAGCTAATATTAAAGACACAAAGCAAGAGCATGATCTTCTAGAGATAATTTCATTATCCATTGACATATCACTGGCTGGTCCCACTGGTTGGTTGAACTAAAGAACATGATGCACTTGAAAACTAACCATCATTATGTTAGCTAAATATGAAAAACAACGCAGTAACTTCCGCAATACAAAAAACGGTACATGAAAAAGCGAGATGGTAAACATAAATGTAAAATAAAAACAATACAATGCTTAGCATTATATCATGCATCAGATATAAGATAGTCGTTGGGAGGTAGCTAGGAAATAGGAGTGGGACAACGAAACTCACGATAAGAACGCCACTGAGGTTAGCACATCGCATGTAAACAAATGAATGCAACCAAACGTGTTCATTTTTCGGTGTGCTGACGTGTGTAACGCATGATCAAGTCATCGGAGCCAAACAGGAGATATAACGGTACTGAGCAGTTCATTTGCTTTTCTTGTGCCAAATACGAGACTACGAACGCTTTCGTTGCTTACGTAGTGTTCCCATGATAAACGACGAAGACAGTGATAAGGGAATGTAATTAGCCCCTTTAGATCTGTCCAGCTGATGGGTCAGGTCTAGCAACAGTATAAGAGGATTAAACGGACGGTTGAGTTGTAAACTTTACCTTTCAAGGCGAGCGATGTCAAACTGGCGATTTTATAGAATGGTAAAGGCACGTCAAGCGTTTGGTTCATGATCTTATCTTCCATTCCGCATGCGCTAACATAGCTGCTTAGATTACTTAATGTTTGGGGGCTGTCATAGATCAGTACAATGTCATCGGCGTACTCCAAGTCAAGAAGTCCTTCATCCGGGAGAAGCTACACACCTTCCAACACGTGCCCAGTGAACGCAGCAGTAATGACCTCGTCCGTAGCGAAGTTAGGAGGAAAAGATGATAGCGGACAAAATAGTCTCACATCACTGGATATGTCATAAGCCAGCAGTGTCCGAACTACGCGCGTACAGCGCTTGAATGATATTTACATATTTATCAGGCACACTTCCTGAGCAGAAACCTGGACACACCAAAGCGAAGGGACTTTTAGTGTCGATGAACACGGCGACGGGCCTGGAATAAATATGGCGGTGCCACAACAATCGACATAATCTACATATGTGGCTATTACAGTATAACTTTGACGGAACCCGGCTTGCTCCAAGCGAATTTGGACTTTACGGATGTCAATTAGCCTATGGAGAGCGACGGAAGCAAATAACAGAAGACTGATCCGAATGTGAGCCTCTGCTGAAAAAAGAAAGCTAGGCCAGTCGGTTGGCACAGTCTCCTCATCCCACAGCTTCACTAGTATATATATATATATATATATATATATATATGTATATATATATATATATATATATATATATATATATATATATATATATACATATATGGTTGGCGGCATCCGGTTTCTGATTTGCCTGTCACTGTGGCAAGCCACAGGACGCCTGCGCTTACAGAGGGACCATGGATGGCTTGCGCTGCACCACCCACAGCTCCGTCCACACACTCCATATCCAGTGTGAACCCGAAGGAATAAGACCAGGAGGCATGCGGATGGGAACCACGTTTCATCAACAGAGCCGGCCCACACTCCTTCACAGACAAACACAAGCACACACTATTTGGGAATCAAGCGCACACAAGGCGGTGGCTGGACCGTAGTCCGCTCCACACTGACTGCATAGAACCACTCTTTGATCCTAAAACGGCCATAAGGACCGTGCACCCTGTCCCCTCCAGCAACGACCAACTGTCTCCTGGAGCCAGTATGCACGAGGTATTGGGTAATAGATAGGTAGGCACCTTGTCAACATGCACATCAAGCGCAGCCACACCAGGGGTTATCAAACAACAGCCAAACACTTGAGAGAGAGAGAGAGAAAGAAAAAGAGAAAAACTAGGTTAATGCATAAGGAAACGGTGATATAAACCTTAAGTAAATAGCATATGTAATAAGTTGTATACAAACAAATCCTACCTAAGTGCACGAGGTCAGGAAATATAGTTCACGGAAATGCCACGAACACAAAAATGTTATGGAAATCGAATACAATTGGCTGAAGCGATGTGCGCAAGTTAATGGAATAGAGTACTGGTAGACATTTATATGAGAAAGAAAAGCATTAAGGCACAAACTGTAAAGCCACCACCTGAAATAAAGAGACTTAGCATGCAAGCACACGGTTAGTAAATCGAATTCAGCGTGCCTATAAACGCTGCGCCGACTCGCCGTAATTCTCTGCAGGACCCGTCGTCGCTTCTGTAGTGGCCTCAAAGGACCCAGCTCATGGCCCACTAGACATTTATATGAGAAAGAAAGGCATTAGGAGAGAAGTAAAAAACCCACCACCTGAAATAAAGAGACTTAGCATGCAAGCATGCGGTTAGTAAATTGAATTCAGCGTGCCTACAAACGCTGCGCCGGTGCTGCATACGTTCACTGCGGGACCCGTCGGCGCTTCGGCAGTGGTCCCGAGTGACCTCTTTCATGGCTCACTAGGCCTGCCTGACTAAGGCACTCGCGACCGCATGTTCTACAGCACCATGCGCTCGATGTCGATGGAGTACAATTCATCGGTGCTTGCCGCTTCTTCTCCGCATGCATGAGGGCTTTCTCCCGCACTTCAGCAACTGCCTTCGTGATTAGATCGCGCCATGCACGCCGATCAACTGCCTTCGATTCCCATGATCTGCAATCAAGATTAGAACGTGTGAGGCTCACTTTAATCATGTCCTGGTAACGTAACTTTGGTTTCCCCACGTGCCGCTTCCCTATACTCAGCTGACCGTATAAACGTTTCGGTATCCGCGTCAAATCCATACGACTCACATGACCGAGCCATCTCAGGTGTCTCAGTAAAAGTATGCAGTCCACTGCATACATCCCACTTCGGCGCAACACTTCCGTGTCTGCAACTCTGGCGCCCCAGCCGATCCGCAAAATTCGTCGCAGACACTGCTGATGGAACCGCTCGAGATATCGCACATCCCGACGGTACATCGTCCACGTTTCACTGCCGTACAGAAGAACGGACAGTACCATGGATTTGTACACCATCAGCTTCGTGACAATGCTAAGCAGATGGTTGTTCCACACTCGGTACTCAAGCTTCCCGAATGCCGCTGCCGCCTTCGACATGCGATTACGCAACTCAACGTGTAGCTGTTGATCAGTCGAAATCACACTCCCAAGGTAGCAAAAGCGGGAGGTGGTTTCCAATACTTCAGCACCAAGGCTGATTCGTGGCAATATTCAAGATTGCACCTCAGGTGAAGGCTGAAAGAGACAGACAGTTTTGCTTGTGTTCATGGTGAGCCCGAATTTGGCCGCTGTCGAAGCCAGAGCACTAACCATCTGCTGCAACTCATCTGCGCTGTGTGAAAACAACGCAGTCGTCAGCAAACAGCAACATACGGATAGTTGTCTCACAGACTAGAGTTCTCGCACCGAAACGACGGATGTTCAGCAACCCACCGTCAATACGGTGCTCCACACGAACACCGTAAGCACAAGCCGCATCAAAAGCACAAGACAACATTGCATGAAGATATATATTAAATAGGGCAGAGACAACTGCAAAGTCATCCGAGGTCCCTCCACTCAGCTGCACCCGCGCTCGCATACCACTGTGCAGACATTCAATTAAACTTACAAACTTACGCGGACAACCAAACTTACCCAACACCAGCCACAATGCCTCGCGGTTTACCGTATCAAATGCTTTGGTGAAATCAACAAAAAGTGAGTACAATGGCTGGTGTCGTTCTCTGCACTTCTCCTGCAACTGACGAGCCGCAAACACCATATCTATAGTGCTGAGACCCGAACGGAATCCACATTGCTCTTCCGCCACGTTAGGTTCCACAATCTGACTCACGAGGCGATTGAGCAGGATTCGGGCAATCACCTTGCCCACACAGCTCAGCAAGTTGATGCCACGATAATTCGTGCAACATTGCTTGCTACCTTTACCCTTGTACAGTGGTAGCACAAGGGCATCCTTCAGCTCAGGAGGCACCTCCTCCTCAATCCATACACGTTGCACTAACTGGTGCAGCGCAGTCAACAACGCGGGTCCACCGTGTTTCAATACTTCAGGTGGGATCCCGTCACCTCCGGCACATTTGCCGTTTCGCAGCTGAGCAAGTGCTCTCTGCGTCTCATCCAGCGTCGGCGTATCCGCCAGATCCGCCTTCACATCGTGCTGCTTCAGGCCATTCAATGTAGGCCAGTCGATCTCTGAACG